GTGTTTGGTGAAACCCAGCACCATTTTATGAAAGAAAGAAAACATGACAGTAATAGAATAGAAATAGAATAGAAGAGAACAGAACAGAACAGAACAGAACAGAATAGACTAGACTAGAATAGAATAGAATAGAAGAATAGAGAGAAACTTCCTGAACTAGAAAAAGGGAATCTGTACCCAGCCACAGCTGACAGCTGACTAAGCAGTGGATGACTGACTAAGATCAGAAACAGAACAGCCATCCCCACTCCTCCCACTCCTGCTAAGTGTTTACAGGAGGTGCCAACAAGGACAATTAGGCAAGAACAAATGAGGTTAAAGTCATCCAGAGTAGAAAGTCAAACTAGTTCTCTTTGTGTGTGATATAATTCTTTTAATACAAAAACATAATTTAAGACTCAAAATGAAACTATTAAAACAAGTGCATTCCACAAATTTGCAAGAATGAAAAGGAAATAAAATGAATTGTGTAATATAGCATCAAAGAAATATTTTTTTAAATATTTCTGGGGCTGGAGAATGGCTCAGTGGTTAAGAGCACTGCCTGCTCTTTCAAATGGACCTGGGTTCAATTCCCAGCACCCACATGGTAGCTTACAACTGTCTGTAACTCCAGGTCCAAGGGATCTGACACCTTCACACTAAGGCACATAAAAATAAAATTAAAGAAATTTTTAAAATATTTCTAAATATTTAAAATTTTTAAATTTTAAATATGAACTAAAAAAGTTGAAAAACATGTTGTCTAAAAACTGAAGTATTGAAAAAAATATATGCAAGCTGTAAATGGAAGGGCTTCAGGCTGTCTGTAGGTGGACTGTCTGTGGGCTGTGAGCCTTCATGGTTTGAAGACCTCTGCACTTCCCGAATTGATTTGCAGCTTGAGCACCATAACAGTGTCATTTGCTGTTTTGTAGAAAGTGACAAGTTGAACTTCAACTTTACATGGAAATTCATAGGTCCATGGATAGCTAAACCATCAGGGAAAGAAGAAGGAATGAGGATAATTTATATTCACAGTACATTTTTTTCTGATTTCAAAACTCATTAGAAAGAAAGAGCAAGCAAAGAATGTGGCCGTTATAAGGACAAATACATCAATGGGATAAAGTTTGGACTCTGGAGTTTGACCCAGATGGTTGTGGTAAGCTGGCTCAGAAAGTGCGGAAGAAATTGGTGGGGGAGCAATATTCTTCTCTGAAAATTGTGCTGGAGCGAGTGAAGAGCCGCCCAGAAGAGCCTGGACTCTTCACAGCATGAATGAAATTAAGTTAAAAGTGGTTAAGTACCTCACATATAAATGCTAAAATGAGAAAAACTTTTAGAGAAAAATGTAAGTTCAGTTACTTTGGATCTGACACTGGGTTCTTTGATTCAACCTCAGAGAGAGAGACAGAGAGAGATAGGGAGACAGAGAGAGAGGCACCAAAAGGGGAAACCAGGCAGACTGAACTTCATAAATTTATTAAGTTTTCTGCTTCAAAGGGTACTAGCAAGAAAGTACGAGGAAGCACAGAGAGAGGGGAAATGCAGGCCACATATCTGATAAATGACTTGTGACTTAGATCTCAGTCCAGTTAAAATATGACAAAAGGACCTGACTAGATACTGATCAACAAATATGTGCAAATATCCAAGTAACACATGGACGGCTAGCATCCATGTCATTGGATGAAGGTGAACCAAATCACAAGATGTCATTCATACATGTTAGAAACTCTGATCAAAAAGCCAAATCCTAATGCGTGTGGCTGAGAATGCAGGGAAGTCAAAGCCTTCGTACAACTGCTGATGTAATGGAGAGTCAATAGGACCACACAGGAGATTGTCTCCCATACCTAAGAAAGTTCAGTGGAACCATATCGGATCCAGAATCACACCCACCAGCCTGTTCTTAAAAGAAGTAAGTATTCATGGCAGCATCCCTTAATAATTAAGTGGAGGAAACCATCCAAATTACCTTTAAGTGTCGAGTTGGTGGATAAAATGTGATAAATTCATTCAACTGGATTTGGTGTGGCCATGAAAATGAAGGAAGTATGGACGATGCTACAATACGTGTGACTCTTTGAGGAATTCACTAACAAAAAAGAAGCAGCAGTAACGGGCTATTGTGTCACATGCTGCAACCCCACTACTAGGGAGGTGGAGGCAGGAAGATCGGGAGTTCAGCTACATAGCCAGCTCAAGGCCTAGGCTCCATGAAGACCCTGTCTCAAAAGAATAAAGGCAAGCCACCAAAAGCCTTGATAAACCTACATTTTAAATACAGGACTATACGAAGTTAAACAAAAGCTCAGGGGCTTTGCCAATGACAGTCTTCAATTACAAATGTGGAGACGAAGGTCCGTCTGAAAATCCTATAGCTCTGCACTGTGATATCACTAAGTCCTTGGCGACAATTTATGGCTATATCCTTTAATCCACATTAAATGACAACGCAAATGTTCATGAGCAAAATAATCAAACTTGCAGAGAACTATTTATAATTTAGTATCCAGGTTTTATAGATAAGACTTTAGTGATAAGAAAATATAGCAGGGATTTTATCAGATTATCATAAGTAGATTATCAACAAAAATATTTTCTATGATATTCAGATTCTGCTAATAGTCATTTTGATTACCCATCACATGGCAGGAATCATATTGTAGTTTCTCAGGTTTTCTTCACTCTGTCTCTCCCATCTGCTTTCTCAGCCAGCTCGAGAAGTATGTGCTGCTGCCTTTGTTTAACAGTTTAAAAGGTTGTGTCTCTGAGAGTTTAAATGATTGGCTCAACTTGTCACCCATGATATCAGCAAGATGGCTGAGCAGTTAAAAGCATGTGGCTGTCTTCAGTCCCCAAGAACCACATGGGAGAAGGAGAGAACAGATTTCTAGCCTACACATACACACACACACACACACACACACACACACACACACACACACACACACACAATATCCATCAATCAGTCAGTCGAATGTAAAGGTAGATGTTAAGCTAACCCAGCTAGGAAGTAGCCCTTTGGAATCTATATCTCATGTGCTATGGATCCAAATGGAACGGCCTTCTCATCTGCCAGATACGCTTGTGCTTCAGTCCCTTTCAACATTTACCTATTGAGTCAAGAAGCCCAGGATTCTTGCTGTGTATAAATTCTTCTGTAGTCCTATATTGGCAAAGTCCTCAGCACATCAGTAGCTGCCCTTAACCCTTGCCTGGCCTGTTTCTCAGGAACACTCCCACCATCTTTCAGCCCTCCATCCACCTTGTTTTACTATTGACTAGAGCAAAATGTGACCTGCTGACATGGATTTAAAGACTGAAAACTAAGCATGGGACAAAAGAAAAAAAAAAAAAAAAGCAAGGACATGCTTCGAAAGAGAGATTAAGAACTGAATTTGTTGTAAATTTAGGATTCCAGATCAAATTACAGAATCTGCTAGACCTCATACTAAAAAGCCAGAACCACAATTTTTGACCTTAGGATCAAAATAAACCACAATGTCTATGACAGGAGTTTGTCTTGGGTCCCACATAAGGCAGAGGATGATGGCATATAGCATGTGTGTGAATTGTCTTAGTCTCATGGCAAATCTTTACCAAATGAAGGCTTGCAGCTCAGAGCATAGTCTCATGTTTTCTCGATTACACAGAGGATAGATAAGTGTCAAAAAGCCAAACTCAAAGCCATCTATCTAAGGGATGATGCCCTCTGCTCCATCAATGCAGTTCCCAAATATCTGTCCACAAAGGGCAAGACTGTCACCATGTTTTCACAAGTTAAGAGCAGCACCGCACCATACAGGCGGAGGAGCATCCTTTGTCAGCACAGGAAAGGTCACTGGCAAAAACTCTTTTCTTCTCAGCTTATATCCTTCCTGCCTTCCTGTGTGATAGAATCTTTTCTTGTGAAATAATGAGGGAAACAGGTAGTAAGCAGGTAATGTGATGATGTTTTTACTCGGCAAAAGGAAGAGAAGGTAACTTCATGTGGTGACAGAACCCTGGTCCTGTCTGCATAAAAGGTCTCATGGACTCTGAGTACATCCTGGTTCATCTGTCCATCTGTTGATGTGCTGGGAGAGTTCGCTCTTCCCCCTGCCCAAAGCACTCCACAGAACAGCAGAGCTCTCAGTCTCTTCAGCCTGAGCACTCTTTGGGAAGGCTCTGTTCCTTCTCAGATCTCGGCAGCTGTTTTCCCCTGACCCGTGTGGGCAGAGGCACATTTCAGGGGATGGTAAGCATAATCTGCCATAGGAAACTACCCAGTAACCCAGGAAAAAGAAATTATCTGAGCTACTAGTAAGGTGTACACATGGGCCCCAGCTTGGAGCCATTTGCCCGTGAAGAAGGGACTTTCTCGTTCTTTAAATGAAGTCTCACTCAAGAGTGAGATTCATTGCCACCTGTGCTGGGTATCCATGGTACTGCTGACTCACAGTCACAGCCTTTTACAAGCATAGCTGGGGTCACAGAAAGACATTAGCTAATGTCAGAGCTAGAATCCTAACCTACTACCTGCTCCATCTCATCTTTCTAGGAAAGAGCAGTGGAATTCAGGTGATGTCATTTGAAAGATAAGAGGCTCTTATTCGGTAACTATCCTTTAGAGCCTGGAGGGCTCTTCAGTGGGTTATACAACTAAAGACAATGGCTGCCCATGTCCCGGGATCCATCAGTAGCCAGGAGTTCTGCAAGGCATGGTAACGTGAAAGGATGGAAAGAGATGAGAGAAGGTGCAGGGTTCCAATACCCAGAATGCAAAATGTACGTATTTGAAATTGTCAAAGAACAATTTCAGCAAAAGCCATTTTTTTAAACTTGAAGGTTCAGTTATTGGAGATTTTCTTGGTTCTGCTGTACTAATTATTCACACATTCAATTGTTCATTCAAGAGAGACAGAAAGAGATCTCAAATATGCTCAAAATCAGACCTGGCTAATAATATTCCTGACTACCTTGATGTCACCATTAATCATTCAGTGACTTATTGATAAAATAATACCTTCCAGCTATGATGAAAGAAAAAAGAAAATGGATAAAGACTACCCGAAAACCACTGAAGAGGAATTTTCAGGAGTGAGCGGCCAAATAGATGCTGCTGTGGAGTTAAACGGTGAGTGTCTCCACCGAAAACTTCCCCTGGGAAATCACAACAGAAAAAAAAAAATGAATTTCAACGGTCACTGAAAGAGTCACTGGTTCTTATTTTTTGGTTCAAAGTCATCTCATAAATTTAAATAGCCAGATTACCTGCTAGGAAGGGGAATTATTAAAAAATATTTTATTAAAAATAAGTAAATGAGGCTGGGTGTGGCAGCACATGCCTTTAATCCCAGCACTTGGGAGGCAAAAGCAGATTTCTGTGAGTTTGAGGCCAGCCTTGTCTACAAATTGAATCCAGGACAGTGAGGGCTATTACACAGAGAAACCCTGTCTCAAAACACCAAAATAACAATGATGGTGGAGGTGGTGGTGGTGGTGGTGGTGGTGGTGGTGGTGGTGGTGGTGGTAATGATAAATGTGATTCTCCCTTTACTAACAGTTATGTTTAAAAGTATAGCTTCAAGTAGGGAATGTAGCTGACACTGACACTGACCCTGACACAGCCCTGGGTTCAATTCCCAGGACTTGTAATTGTGTGGTTTATAACCCCAGAACTTGAGAAAAGAAGGTTCAAAGCCATCCTCAGGTACACAGCAGATCCAAGGATCTGCCTGGGACGCATGAGACCCTTTCTCAAATGAACACACAGAAAGTGCAGCTTCAGCCTGTAATCCCAATACTCAGGAAACAGAAGCAGATAAAACAAGAGTTTGAGTCTATCCTGGGCTACATAATGGGAACTTTTCTCAAAAACAAACAAACTACCGTAATGTAGCTTCAATCCAGTAGCTGTCATCTCAACTAATCCCAATATCTTTTACCTTTCCATCACCTAACTCCTGAAATCTAACACAGAACTAAAGAAGTTAGGTGAAGTATTATATGCTAATCAAACAAATTTAAATACAGCCTTTAAATCACGTTCTTCCTGAGTATGTAGCACAGAGACAGACAGTGTTCAGAAATGCAAAGGAGATTCCAAATGTAGCCTCTCTCCTCTTGGAATGTTGAGCATGCTTGGGAAATGCCTAGCCATAGAACACAGGTGAATCCACTGGCAGGTGAGACAGCCTGTGATTTACCACTGACTTAAGTCAATAGGCTTCAGAGTGGCTTCAGGAAGTGATGAGAGACAGCAGGGGTCATATGGGGCAGCAGGCCATTTCATGGCGCATCAGCTGGTTCCAAAGGCGAGCCAGACGTTTGGCAGGCTACGAAAAGCAAAAAGGGCTTCTGTGAGGAGAATGGCCTAAGCCAAATCACAAAGCCTGAGGATGCCCTCACATGACCCAAGTGAAGCCCTTACCCTGCCTGGAACAAAGGAAAGGATGAGGAGTGGTCTGAGAAGTCAGACTCTAGAGCCTGCTGCGGCTCTGCAGAAGACAAGCTCGCTGCCAGCCGAGCAGCCCTCCATCCCTCGTTGGTACCATGACGAGACAGCCGCAGTTACATTATAAACCTCCCCGCTCAGAGCAACACCGTCATCTCCAGTAACCACAATTTCAACCTCATCTCTTCCAGGCTACATCTACTTCTTTTCAGGACCGAAAACGTTCAAGTATGATACAGAGAAGGAAGACGTGGTCAGTGTGGTAAAATCCAGCTCCTGGGTTGGCTGCTAAATTATCAGGTCTGGTCTCTCCAAAGGGACAAAGACAGTTGTGAGAACTGATGAGTGGACATTACAGACTAAGCAGAGTGTCACAGACGCTCTTCTCTGTGGCCTTCAGTTCTGAGGGTGATTGAAAGTTCCTTGAAAATAACAACAATTCCATTGTTTTTCCTAATTATTCCTTCACAATTTAATCTAAATGAGAAACGGTTTTTATCAGAATTGCGTAATTTAGTTAAACATTCTTTTTTCTTGCCTACTATAGTAAAGCAAGTTGATCAGTTTGGTTTCTATTTAAGAAAAAAGACTGCATGTACGCGCGCACAGGCACACACACCATTCTTAGGCCAGGCCATTACCATTTGAATCCTAATTTTCCCTTAAAACAATGGCCATCGTTTACTATGATGAATATAAATGTACCTGTTTATGTTTTGAAGATACCACAAGCAAAATGTAGCACCAGGTCCAGTTCTTGCTTTAGGTTGTTCCCTGTGTCCCCTCACTGCTCTCTGAAGTGGGCTGGTAGACAAACATTCCAGTTAATTTTTATGCTTACAAGCAGCTGGACACTCTACATCAGGGAACCTTCTTAGCAAAACCCAATAAAAATGTTGTGATAGAACAGTTCCTTATTTCTCTTTTCTGTTAATATTTACTAGCCCTTATCATGCTTTATTTGGCAACAAATTCTGTGTACCTGAAGAAAATGTAAACAATAGTATCTTAAGTACACAGAGCCAGAAAAAATAACACAGCCTGACCTACTTCCTGCTTCCTGGTAGCACCCCCGGTGGACACTTCTTTTATCCACCTCAGTTTCTTCTGAATACTTTTCTAGCTAGGGAAGTTCATTTTTTGTTGTTTTAGTTTGTTTGTTTGCTTGCTTGTTTGTTTGTTTGTTTTTATTCATACTAAATCTTTACTTCCCAACTCTACCAAGTTAACAACACAGAATTACGGGCGTCAGTCTTATGGTTTTTAAAAACTTTAGTTCTAGAATTCTAGAAGCAGCCTGGAAAAACTCTAAAGCACTTCAGGAGTTCTGAAATTGAAGAATATTTTTATTACATAGGTTGCTTAGAGGAGCTGCAGTTTATGACAGCTATGAACTGTTATTGTTAGCATCGTTTATTAAATTTTCTTCATGTACTCATGAAAAGATTTAGTGACACACAGTTACTGCAAGCGTCCACTAGGTCTCCACTGCTGAAAGTCACTGTGCATGCCCAGCCAGATGCTGACTGCTGAGAACAACATCGGGTACCTTTGCTGCCTAAGGCCCAGGTGCCCTGTTGAGAAGCAAAGCCATTTCATTTTTTTTGCAGGCTGGAAACGTCTTACTATCAATAAGCAAAAACAAAGCAAAACAAAAACAAACCCAGGGGCAAGGAAGATGGTTCAGAGACTGAGAATACGCGCTGACCTTGCAAGTACCTGTGTTCAGTCTCCAGCACCGCATGTGCAACTTACAACCGTCTGTTCCAGGGGATTGGATCCTCTTTTGTGGCCCCCCTGGGCACCTGCACATATGTGTGCATACTGACACACATAAATAAAAATAGTTTCAGAAACAAGCAAAGAGCAAAGCATTAAGGCAAGCCCTCACAATGTTAAACAGAAGCCAAGCTTATATATACCTGTGAGAAATTAAAACACAAAAACTTGTGCACAGATGCTCAGGGTAGCACTATCCACAATAGCCAAAAGTGGAAATATGTCCATTACTTGATGCATATGTGAATAAAAATGCGGTAGATTCAGACAATGAGGTGTTTATTAAACCATAAAAGGAATGAAGTGCTAAGACATGCTGTAATATGAATTGAAAAAAAATCATACCAAGTAAGAAGATAGACTCAAAAGATCACATGTTGTATGATTCTGTTTATATGAAATGTTGGTGATAGAAAAAACACATAGAGACAGAAAGGAGAAGGTTGATCAGAAGTTGTGGAGTGAAGCAGCTGAGCGATGGGCATAAGGTTTCTTTTCTGGGGACTGGAAATGTTCTAGAACTGATGGTGGTGATGGTTGCACAACTCTACGAAGATACAAAAGTCGCTGAATTGTACATTTTAAATGGGTGAATTGTTTCTTTATAAATTCTATCTTGATGAAGTTGTTATATTATAAAAACATAAAAGAGCAAAGAGATCAAAGTGACATGTGGTGATTCATGAAATTCCTGCAACTTGGGAGCTGTGGCAGGAAGCATAGGGCAGCAAAACAGCAGGCTAAAGATGTTTGCTAGCGAGCAACCAGATAGATGCCTTCCTTGTGCCCAGCACTACCCAGGAGCAGGAAGGCCGAAGATGCTCCACCGCAGAGGCATGTCCTGGAAAGCAATAAAGCATGCGCTCTGGGGATAGAGTGGCTGCATTCAAAATCTGAGAACATGTTTTCAGCTATGCGATGTTCTTCAAGTTCTCTGATCTCTTCTTGGTTTCCTCCTTTGTAAGACAAACAAGAATAGCTCTTGACCTCCTGGGGACATTTAGTGGTTGAAATACATGACTCAAATCATACAAAGTTCTCAGAGTAGTTTCTTGTAGTCTTCAGGGGTTCACTAATTGTTCTTAAGATGGCTAGTTAATGTTGTTTTAGGATATTGTGGAGAATGTATGGACTTCACCTTGCAAGGTCTGGTGACCTGTTACAGCACATGAAAAGATAACCAGTAAATAACCTGGCATCTTTCTTCTTTAAATTCCAGATTAAATAAAAGAATTAAAAATAAATACTGACTGTGGTTAACCCCATAGGCCAAAGAACAATTCTCTCAAATTGTTATCTTCTTTGTCGAATCAGGAGCATTCTGGCTCTCAGCTATAACTCATGTATACTTTGGGATGATATGGCCTCTCAGGCATAAAAAACAGTCTTTGCATCATTACTTATGGTACTTATCCTATTAGATGCAAGAATTATTGAAGAAATAACGTATAACATGCACAGGGAGACTGTTTATATCTAAAGGCTTCTTACCCATAAATTTGCCAAACAGGGATAAAACAGTTTCCTCTGTGCTAAGCATTTGCATCATTTCTCTTGGCATTTTTCACTAAAATGATGCCATTCTGCTATCTACCTGTGATTTACATTTCATCAGTAACACACAGATGATTAAACTATATAAGCACACATTCAGCTTACCTGTTACAGGAGGAACCTGTGCACCCCTTGACATTGGTATTCATGGAGTCCAGGAGCCAACCTCCATGAAAGGAGACTGCTCTTCGCTTAGCTTCAGGGTGACTAAGTGGGAAATCGCCACGCGATGACAGTGTTCTCTCTAGTGGCCTCTGGTGATTCTCTCCTAACCTCAGTGAAACCTGAGAGCAGCTCTCTGAAAGCACGAGGAAGAAAAGATGGATGGATTCTTTGGGCGGATGCTTCCCTAGTGGCTCCCTGTAACTCTGTGACTGGAGTCGGTATTCTTCCTCTCAGCCTCATCCAAAATGGCAGCCATAAGGCAGCTGGCTGGAGGGAGGGAAGTGAACTTTCTTCCTTCATCTTTTCCCAGGTTCATTGGGTAGCTTGGGTCTCTATGTCACAAAGTAGATGGTAAACCAACTATGCAAGTTTTTATTCAGAAGTCTGAAAATGTATTTCTGAGTTATCAAAAGGTCTCCAGGGTGTTTTCATTTGGACACATCTATGTTTTGACCTTATTTCTGTTTTCATCATTTACTGTAATGATATGTATATCATTATATACATACTTGATATATATATATATATATATATATATATATATATATATATATTTCACAGAAACCCAATCTATAATGGGTCTTTGAGAATATTTACAACTGAAATACTCAGTAAAATATCATTTTAGAGAAATTGTATAGTACTGGCAGTGGGAAAGAGTTTCCGACTCCCACTAGAAGACTTAGAAGAATCTAAGAGAAAAGATACTCTGCATTCTATCCCAACAGGCCTGAACAGAAGGAGGCACAGAATCCTCATGTTGTTTTACGGCTGCCAAGTGTGTCTTTAGGGTTGATCCCATCTCAAAGTGACTTGATAATGTGCTCAGACTAAAAGGCATTTTCTTGTCCTCCAAATTCTGTGACCCCGGCTCTGTTCTCAGTACCTAGACTCTTGGAATTGAAACAAGAGCAGAAGTAAGAATCATCTGATAAATAAATTTCAGTTTGAAATTAGTAAATGGCTTTGAGGGATAAGTTAGCATGTTTTTCAAGTGCATGTATGTTCTCTGTAATATGTTTCAATTCCAACCTAATATTCCTTCTTCTAATCCAATATGCCATTTAACATGTTTCAGGATAAAATGAAACTTTTCTTATACAATGCAGTTGTCCTGGAAAGAGTTAGAGGAAGAGACCAAAAGACAGAAGGACAAGAGCCAATGAGAAAATCACAAAAGAACACATTGAAATCCCTCTTGGATTGTTCGCAGTAAGGAAAACCGTATGTTCATGTGAAATAGTTAGCAATTTGCTTATTCTTGGACTATCTCAGGGCAATAATACATTAATAAATAACCTTAACCTGGGGTTTATTGATCATTGTAGGTAATTTTAGGTGCCTCTGTAGACGATAGAATGGCTAGAGGTCCACTTTGACCATAGCCTGTCCCCTTGTTAAATTGTAAACATACTTCTATATATGAGTTTGCTCTACATTCATAGATAACTACCACTTATACATCTCAGAGAATATTTATCTGGGAACATTCTTAAGCATAGACTGAATTGTATTATGTACCAATAAGTCATTTTCAAAGTATACTAATGTGCATTCCCGCTTATACTGTGTGAGCATTTTCATTGAGTTTTATTAAATGATCCTTTCTATAGGGCACTCACTGTGTGCCAGATACTGCTGTGCTCTGCAGGTTGTTAATCTTCACATTAAGTGAGATGAATATTACTCTCTCTTCATTTTCGAGCTAAGTGAACTTAAACTGTCAGAGTTAAATAGAAACAGCTGGGGAGCAGACTCTAAGTCCATTGCTCTTGGACCTCCTCGGATCTGCTTCAATTCAGCCACACTCAGAGCAAATGTGTGCGGCAGACATTTTCCTAAAATGCTGAAGGAAGGGTGTTGTTTTTCTCTGCACACACATCAGCTCTCATATCTGCACTGGAACCTGCCGAGGGTGGCGAACAGACAGGCAGCTCCCAGATGGGGTCGGTACAGGAAGAAATGTGGAGAGGCGTGGGGGGAAGACAGAAGGAAGGCAAGGCGGAGCGGTGAGCAACGCACAGTGAGGCCAAGAGCCTGTCCCAGTCTTCCCTGAGCATCGGCACCCCTTACATAGGTTGCTCTTTGTCGGTGAGTCATCTGATTCTTCTAGAACTGTCTGAGAAGCATATCAACAGATCCCAGTACTCTGCTACTCTGACCTTTCCCTGGCCTTTACTCTGGATCCCCAGCCTTTCTTCTTCCATTCTGATTTTCTGCTTCTCCTTCCCTGATGCTGTGACCCCCACTGCTGGGAATCCCTCTTATAATGCCCAGTGTCTTTAATGAGCTCTGCCTTGCAAGCTTAACGTGAGCCCTGGGAAGAATGGCCTGAGCCGCGAAGGCAACATCCCACCTTTCCG